ATGTCGGACATTAAGCCCAATGAGTGGTCGACTCTGTATTCAATGAGAAACTGGTTTTTCATTCAAAACAAATAGTTTTCAAATAAAACAGGTTTTTGTTTTAAAAACTTTATGAGCCATTCATAGCGTACGATACGGCGTTATTGTGGGCAATATTTTTGCCCCCTTATGGGCCCCCCTTTGCGTTACTTGAACGTTAGGTTTTGCTATTTTATTCAGTGATAACGTTACTTAATTATTATAGTTATGCAGATACAGTATACTGTAGTTATAATATATTTTACTTTTGATATTAATTTATGTTAAATTATAAATTGTTAAGTAAATTATGTGCAGTATTACGATTGTGGGTTTTATGTTTAGGGTTTAGCTTGTTCAGATCTTATCTAAAATAAATAGTTGAATGAAATTTATTAATTTTAAATTAAATGTTAATATGAAACGGTTTTTGACTGTACTATATATGTTTCTATGGAAAATATCCGTGCCTTTTAATTAACGGTTAAATTAATTGAATAAAAATTTTATTTAAATTTTAATTAGTTAACTGTCAACTAGTTTATAATTCTTGATACAAATGTAAAGTTTTAGAAATCAATCCTTATTTTTACAAATTGTAATTACAATGGTTATGAAAGCTATACTTAGTGTTAGGTTAGGTTAGGTTAGGTTCGCTATGCTATGCTACTATGTGTGAGGTACAGTTACTAGAATCTGTTTAAACAGATATCTATAATAATTAATGTGACTGATGAAATTACTTTTAATTACTTTTAATTAAACTAGTTTAATAAATTTGAAAATAATTTATTTAAATAACAATTGTAATTAAAATTATATTAGTTTATTAGCCATATGAGAATTATATTTATAAATTATAATCTATTTTGATAATAATTTTAAATTAAGTAACTTTATTAGCATAAAACTAAATTATGACATTTACATTTACACTTTATTAATATATTATTACATAAAAATTTATTTATTTACGGATATTTACAATCACTAATAATAATTTAAACATGGTAAGCATTATAAATCAATCCTTAATTTTACAAATAGTAATATAAATTAAATTATAAGTTTGCGCCAAAAAATATCAACATTTTTAATCACTTTATATTTATTCATATTTAAGCGGAATTGTCTCTTCAATCATCTGAAATAATAATTAACATAAAAATTTAATTTATTAATAATAATTCCCATTCCCTATAACCTTGAACCTATACTTACTTTAATCAGATTCTGCTTATATTCCTTCCTATTATACGTGTTATTCTGGTCGACATTTTTCGAGGGAAGCCTAATATTCTCGCGTTTGAGCGCCAATTCCAGCTCATCGATGTTGAACACCAGAATCGGGTCGATCCGGTTTCTCCAAATCAAATCACCCAGGTACTCCTTATAGTGGAGTCTATATACACAAATCAAGAATATTCTGTGTTAATCATTAACAGTATAGTACAGTATATTTATATATGCATATTTAAATGTACCAGTGTACTATCCTACTAAAAATGGTGACAAATTCTGTACATACCTGCAAAGTCCGGCGTTTTCCACGTACCGGTTACAGGGCTCGTCCCGCATACCGGTGTCGGTGTCCTTTTGCTCCATCACTGGGCATCGGGTGCTCTTGTGGTCGGAGTCCAACTTTGTCTTGTATTTCACGGCGTTTTTCTACCAGTTTTTATGAGCGGTATTACAGAATATTCTCGATTCCCGGCGACTCATCGCAAATGGTTTGTCAATAAATACTTACGTCGAGTAATGACTGCAAGTCTTCGGTGTCCTTATCCCTCAGATAGAAGAGACAATTGCGCGGATGGTGTGAATGGAGACCCAGTTTCTCGCAGAATGGACTCACGCCACACCTCTGGGGGGTTGGGATCAATGGGTAGACATTTATTAATATTTGAGTTATATAAGTTATGTATAAATAATCTTAAGTGCTGTTAATACTATATATATATACTGATCAGCAGGGCACTTAATTTAATTAGTTTTATACTGAACAATAAACGGTGAATTAGTTTGACATACATTTCCCATTTTGAAGGGCCGTTGGCAACCCCCGCAAAAGTCGTACGAACACTGAATGCACCGGAAGTGCATACACCCGCCCTTCGCCAACTGGTATTTGAATTTACAATTGGGACAGTCTGTTAAAGGGGGCAGGGTGTTAAATTGATTTCTTAATACAATACAAATAATGCAAAAATTTGGGTACCGATGCCGAACTCCTTGAGGTGTTTGTCCAGTTGTTGTTCGGCGAACGTGGGGTCGTTAGCCCTCTCCCACTCCGCGAACTGTTCGCACGTTATGTTGAAGTGTTGTTTCTTCCACTTATAGGGAGGGGAGAGAGAGAGAGATCATTAGATTTTTAATTTTATAAACATAATAACTACCGCACTGTCAATGATCATAAATAGGTGCAGGTACCTTTTTCTTGCACTTGGTGCATGTCAAATTCTTACAGTCCGGGCACATGAGTGTCAGCGCCTGTGGGTTGGGCGCTATGAAACCGGAACTACACTATAAATACCAACAAAAAAAATAATTCTTAAAATTCTTGACCACAGAATCCTCTATACTATTCACCCATACCTGTGAACACCACTGGAAGTTGGGATCCCTAACCAATGCCCTATCCCTGCATTTGCGTTGAAACAGCTCATACACGTCGGCGGGCACGTGGTGTCTGACCAGCTGATCGAGAAGGGCCAGGTAGTCGAACACCTTGTCGTCGTCATCGGGCCCTATAGCCGGCTCGTCGCAAAAGGGACAGCATATGACCAGCCGTTGGCGCTCCCGGATCTGGACGCACAGGTATTTCTGTAGACACTGGCGACAGGCGCTGTGCGTGCAGGCGATCATCGCCACCAACTCGTCGATGGGGTATATTATGCAACAGAGTTCGCACTCGTAGTCAGTGCGCGCCCATCCGAACGACTCGTCGTATAGTAGCCTATAGTGTCCGGGTATTTGTGGTCACAATTGGGATTAAAAGCTTTTTTGAACTTTTTCATAATTATTTGCTTAGATGTAATGTTTTGTTAGGTTAGGTTATGATATGCTATGCTATTGCTATGAGAGGTTAGGTTATATAGATTATGTTACAATGATATTTACAACCAGATATCTTTAATAATTAATTAGCTTTTTAAAATTTAAAATTTAATTTTTAGATTCATTTATTTTTATTTATCAACTATTTCAGTAAATTAGTTAAATTTTTATTAAATGCATTCTTTAATTTTAATTTAATTTCATAAAATAAACATTATATACCTATTTATGGGGGAATTCTTTGATTGTTTAATATTCGGCTGTAGATGTGTGTCAAGAATATCCTGGATATCACTAATCACAGTCTTCGGATCACTGGATAAGTTCCCAATGGATTCCTCCATCTGCTCGATCTCCTCAAGACTTTGTCGCATACTATTGTCGATCTCTTTAAGCAATTTCTTCCTATCAATCGTTTGATTCTTGACATCAGAATCGGTTTCTTTAATCACTTGCTTGTCATTAGACTCGTTGGCAGTGTTTGCAGAAAATTCTTGTTTTGACTGTTTATTTGATTTAACGGAATCGCGTTTTTCTACAGAATTTTGTTTCTTTAATTGTTTTCTACTCTTTTCGGCAGAATTTTCTGTTTTATTCACTAAATTATTATTATTAACAGAATTTTCCTTTGGTTTCACAGATTGTGTCAATTCTTGAGAATCCTCTTGTTTTCCATTATTATTATTATTACTTTTGCTTAAAACTTGTTTACTTTTAACTCCATTTGTGTCTAGTTGTGTAGATTCTTGCTTAGAAACTAACTTAGATGATCCTGGTAGACTTCCACTTGTATTTTGTTTATCACTTATTATATCAGTTTTTTGTTCACATATTGATGATATTGTTTTTACCACAGAATATTCTGTAGACTGTACAGACTCTGCACATTGGCTTGAAATTTGTTCAGGCATAGTTTTATTTGTTTTGACTGAAATCACATTACTTTTATCGCTATTTTCATCCGATTTTGTTAATTGTGTTTGCGTTAAAATACTTGATTTTTGTAACACCGCTGATTTAGTAGTATTCTTACTATCTAACCTAGTACCAAACTGGTCAGTTACAATTGCATCGCTTTTTATTTCGCTTGCATTACACGAAACAGAATATTCTGTGGTTTTAGTTGATTGTGTTATTTCACTAGAATTCTGTTCAATCGTATAGTTAATCTCTTTATTCTCAACAATTTGTTTAGTTATGTCACGGCTTTGATCCACTTTTAGAGAATATTGCTGTAGTTTACTTTGAAACCTTGATAATTTTGTTTCACTTTTATCGATAGATTCTTGAATACTTTGCTGAGCTATTGGCTTAATATTAGAGGAATTCTCACTATTATTCTTATTATTATCACTTTTATCGACAAAAATCTGTGCAATAATCTGTGTATTATTATCAGTCGACTCAGAATATTCCTGTATTTTATGCTCATTTTGAAACAATAATGTATCGGTTTTAACGTCAATTAATTGAACAGTATTGTCAACAGATTTCTCTACACTTTCAGCCTCTGAGGCCTTCATATAAATGGGATTTTCTTGAATACAATTCTGGCTCTCAATGGGAATATTCTCAAACAAATTCCGCGATTCTGTGCTCCGATTGCCGTAATTTTGGTCTAATTTTTGCTGAATTCTGGCGTCGATTCTGTCGAACTCGTCGTCGCTCTCGTCACTCAGTCTATCGTAATCGCTATAATACTCATTCAACTCCCTGTCCACCACATCAAACTCCCTGCCCTCCAGGCTCTCTACAATCTCATCGCTCATGCCCTCCCTATCGGCACCGGTATCTGACGACTGACCAGCGCTCGACTTACGGCTGAGATTAATGGGAAGCACTTCGACGCCAACCAATTGTAGCTCATTGTCGGTGACGTCTATAAACTGCCCGTCCGTTGCCTCTAACGTGTCTATAGTATCCAGTGGTAGGTCTTCCCCATCAGCACCCGTACTGACACTACTGTCCTCTAAGTCGCTGTCGAATTCGGTCAGCCGTTTCTGGAGTTCCAGTATTTTTCGCATTTTCTCCCTTTCCCTCTCCTGCTGTCTGAGTCGATCGGACAGTTGTTTTTCGGCCTTCCATTCCCTCAGTAACTGTTCCATCTGTTTCTGGTCAGCAGCGCCTGTAATACTGGAACTGGCAATCGGCTCCGGGTCTACAATATCTGTATTCATAGCGTTTTCTTCGACTATCACTGGCTTTTCGATGTAATCATTGAGTTTTGTTTCGGAATTATCTGCAAATGTGTATAAAATTCATTTTTAATTTACTCATGATTATCACATTTTTAGTACAGAAAGTGTACAGAATATTCTTACAACAATAATTGTAGCATTATAGACTACAACTTATAGTTGTAGTTTGTCTACAGTAGCAATCATGTAAATTATTACAAATAAAATATTATAGTTTAACTTTGTATTTTCTAAACTTTATTAATTTTATAAATTTATAAGTTTAGTATTTAAGTTTAATATCACAAATATTTGCAATGCACAAATGCATATAAATAAATATACTACAATTAAGCTAGCATTAAATGATACCCTGATTATCAAAGGTTTTCCAAAACTACAAAATTATTCTAGTAAAAACAAATACTTATAAACAAAACAAAATTAAAAATACAAACATTTAAAACATTTTTTTCTAAACCCATATTTGATAACCAGGCTCATAATTGTTAAGATTAAGAATTAATATCATTTTTTGAAGCATAACTAACTTATTTGATCCAAACTTTGGCCAATCAATGGTTCATTCGAGTCATTATTCTCTTTACCGGAACCCATACCCGATATCTCCAGGGATAGGGATGTCTTTGGGTTGTCGGCTACGCCATTGGCACCGGTATTGTTGGCCACCGTCTGTTTGGGCAGTTGCTTGGATTTGACACACTTTTCGATGGACTGCCATATGTTGCCTCTCGTGCCCCTCAGGGCCACCCGCGCCTCCTCTTCCGATAATAGGTTCCAATCGGCGGGCCTTTTGTTACCCGATTTGGTCTCGTTTTGCACGATCTGGTTGTTGGTCAGAGTCATCACCGTTTCGCACATATTATGCCAGTTCTCGTCCAACCATTCTGTAGGGAACAGTAGCTATGCATTAGGTTTACCCAACTTTTAACTAAACATAAGTCGGGTTTTATATTTTGTTATTACGAAATTTGTTAACATGAAAATTTTGATACAGAATATTCTGTTTATTATACATGAACATGGACATTCTGTTGTGTATAATTTATTATGGTTTATCAACGAAATTTATTGTATGTATATAAAACACAGAATATTCTGCATGCAAACACTAAATTGTCAGTAAATTGTTGATTACATTACATACCAAGCGGTTTGTCTGGACTGAAATTGATGGCCACCTCGACGTCATCGGCGGTGTAGCCCTTCCTATCGGCATCTCTCAGCAGTTGTATTAACTGTAATCCCGACTCCATCTGAGTCTTATGTCCACTCCTGTCCCCAACCGTCGTATTACTACTAATAGACTGCAAGTTCTCACAACTTGAATACCGGGATGACATTTGCGGTAACAGTGGATTGATATACGAGTTATGATCACTACCGGCAATACTACCGGCGCTGCTGCCTATGGGGTAACCAAATCGGTCGAGACTCGTTTGGGAGCCATTCATAAATGCGTACATATTGTGGAGTGGGTTCGCGGCATACATTTGAGACATTGGATTCACCATTGGATTCAACATTGGGTTCATCATTGGATTCATGTGTTGTTGCATTGGATTCTGGGATAACATAGGATTCTGTGTCGGATATCCGTATCCACTGGTGTTGTATTGAGGCGGATATGAGGGCCGGCGCTCAGTGAATGGGTGTCCGAATTGCTGGGCACTGGTAGGTGTGGGCTGTTGTTGAGGTTGTGTTATATGTTGCGGTATTTGATTGAATGCTGAAAATTCACTTTGTATTACAGTATTTGTTTGGTTTGTATTTAAATTATTATTATTTATGTTACTATTATTTGAATTATAAATGCCACTATTATTAACATTATTTCTAGTATTATTAACAGCTTGTAAATTTTTATCAATAATTATATTATTATTATTTATATTCTGTTCACTATTTTGAATATTCTGTACATTACTTTGGATATCTTGTATACTATTTGCAACGTTTTGAGTACTAATTTCATTCAAAGTATTAGATACAAATTCTGTACTGCTTTGTGTAATCAATTTATTATTATTATCACTATTATTACTAACAATATTATTATTATCATTAGGAATATTCTGTGATTCTACAGAATTATTTCTGGATAAACACTTTTTCACGTTTGAATTACTAATTAAATCGTTATTAATAGACTTATTATTACTATTATTATTGCTTTTACTGCTATTAATACTATTATTACGGGTATCATTGTCCGTATCGGACAGTTGGTCAGCCCTGATTTGGTCGGTCAACTCGCGGCTCACGGGAAGTCCTAAACTCTTACGTCTGGTGTACTCCTCGCGTCTGGAGATCTTCTCATTCTCGCGATCGACACGTCTCTCGTTCTCCAGACGTCGGATCAGCTCTTTCTCGATCGCCATTTGTTCCCTAATTATCTTATCATCGAATCCGATATCAGTGCCGCCAGTATCACCAGCTTTGGTCTCGTTTTGTGATAATTTTCGCCGACTATTATCATTATTTTTGACTGGTTTTTGACGAGTGACTGACTTTTTCGTGAAAGTCTTACGAGTTTTGCTACATATCTCGCAAATGGTATTCTTATTGTCGTTAATATATGTACAGAATCTGCAGGAAATGTATAATAAATTATTCAAAAATTAATTAATCACTCGTTTTGTTTTGTTAAACTGTATGACAAATAGTTTTCAAATGAGTCAAACTAGGTCTACAGATTAAATAAATAATATGCAACAACTGATAATTAATTATAGTTTTACTATTATTTACCAGGCTATAATTAACTTAGACTTAAACTAAAACTTAAACTTAAATCAATCGCTATTCAATCTCAAGTAAGTTAATTAACTAGTACTGTATACTTATGCCAATAAAACGAATCTAGCTATAATTCAGCACATTGCTATCAAGTTTATAGTTTACAGTAAATAACCAAGCTGATAAAGTAATTGACAAATAAACAAGTCAGTACTGACCGACACGACCACTTGCCGGGTGGGCCGGTGTTAGCCTCACCGGGACTGTCATCTCCATCATCGCCGGTACTCTCATTATCACTGACCGAATAGAAGTCCTCTCTGTCCTCCTCGTCGTCGAAATCGCTCTGTTGTCGGGACGACGAGGTGGTGGCCGATCGGCCCCCGGAGTCAGACAACTGTCCGCCCCCTCCGCTACCACTGCCGGCGCTAAACGCACCGCCAGATCCGCCCGACCCGTGACCAGTAGTCTTAGTCGTCGCCCGATTCTGGGCCTTAGCCTTGGCTTTAGAGGACATCCTATCGCGCGATCGACGGGAACTGGCGGTCGACAGGTTGTCGGCGCTCGAGGGCCGGCTGCCTAAGTTGAACGACTTGGACCGGTGGGCGGGGGCGCCGGGGGTTGACATCCCGGTGGGCAGTGGCGACGCCGGGCACGGACTACACGCGTACGGATAGCATGGGTATGGATAACACATGGGCTGCGGTAGTGGTGAACACTGACCACTGGCCGCGGACAGGGATGTGTGCATTTGGACGGCCGACTGACAGCGTTTCATATTAGCCGTGTTATGCCTGTCGTATCCCATTTGGCTACCGGGGCCACCGGCGCTGGCGTCCGAGTCGTAATCGTAGCGCATGTCGTCTATGGAGTTGTTTAGGGAACTGGTAGTCCACGGATGATAGCCCCCGCAGTGGCCCGGCTGGTGGAAGTGGTGGTGGTGTTGTGCGCAGGGATAGGCCATCGGTGGGTACGCCATGTGGGGGATGTCGTCAACGGATCGGTGAACGTGTAGGTTATGTAGCGAACAGTTCTGCCGGTTGTCGAGTGTGTTGGCCACTCGTATGCCTTCCGGACGTCCCGCTAACCGGGGCTGACCCGAGAGGTCGCCTATACTGGTTGACACGCGATTCAGTGAGGCTGACCTACCGGTTCCCCTGTCCACGGGCAGGGAGTTTTTGCGTTGGTTTTGATATACCTGTTGGAAATATTCAATTAAAAAATATTAATACCCTGGACACAATTTTAAATTATAATAAAGTGCACCATACATGTACAAAAAATATTGTCCAGATTATAAAAATGAATTTTCTGTCACCATACTATATTCATTATTAATAGACTAGCAAGGTACTTTGTATTTTATAATACTAGAATAATTTAAATAACATATGATCAGCGTGAAATATAATTTCTACTAATACTTAAATTTTTTTAATAAATTAAGAATATTCTGCATTTATTGTTTAGATATTTAATAATAAGTAAAGAATTTATATGCAATTTATATGTAAAAGTTTTTCTAGTTAAATAACTATTTTATGACACTTACCGGCTGTAGCTGTTGCATGGGTTGAGGCCTGGGAGGGGGCGGCGGTGCTGGTAGTGGTTCCGACAACTTTCTACTAGAAAAGGCGTACGTATGGGACTGACCTCCCTGTCCTGTCAGCTGTCTGACTATCACACCATTGCTGCGATGATTATTATTAGCCATAGACGAGGGAAACACTACTCGAGTCTGATTTTGTTGATACTGTAGTTGTTGTGGCGATAGTCTTGTGGCGCCGGTAGTCGGCCTTATAATCTCTATAGGCCTTTGAATTAAGGGCACGTCGTGTCTGATCTGGCTAACAGGCAATGGGGCACTGGTAGGCAATTTCTCATTGCTCACAAATCGGCGCAACATGTTCCCGGTGCTCGCAAACGTATCCTATTATAAGTTTAGGTTTTATTATTATTATACAAAATAATATTCTGTGTTAAAGAATATTCTGGTACTGACTTTAATGCTGGACAGTATGAGTCCCTTGCGTTTACGTCTGGGCGGAGGGACTGGCATTTTGGACGGGTGTCCACCGAAAGCCTGCGATAAGTCACGTGTCGGTGCCATCGCCGGTCTGGTGGCGTTTATGTGCATTGAATTGTTGCTGGTGTTTGAGGGCTGGACGGGTAGGGAGTGGGGGAGGGAGGGGAGAGAAATAATTAAATTTTATGTTTAAATTATGTAAAGTAATTAATGAGCTAGATTATTGTGTAATATAATATAATGAGCCTAATACATGACAACCCAGATGTGTATGAACTCCCTTTCCATCATAAATAGGTGCAAAGGTTTTGTGCATTAATTTAGTTTTTAAACCATAACTTTATGTGATATTCTTTGTGTGACTTTTAATATGCTAATAGTTTTCATTGTATGATAATAGCCATTACCACCCCCAGACATACCCGTGCTGTTCACAGTATGTAAAGTCCGTGTTTTGATAAGAGTCTAGTCATTGGACTATAACTTTACTGTAAATGCAAATGAATTGTGGAATTTGTGGGCAAATAATTTGCTATTAATTTCCAAAAAGCCATTTATGTGTCTGCGAGACTCAAAAAACTCATAACTATTTTATTAACACATAAACTCATTATGAGTTTATATACTTCGCTGTAATTTACTGTAAAACTAACGAATGATGAGAGAGAGAGAGAGAGCTATTATAGACTATTCTTGTCTCTCCCTTACCTCCCGGAGCGAGAGATGACACCAAAAATATCTTGTCATTCATATATAGCTTTCGGGAAGTATACGCAAAATACCGGACATACTTTTATTTGGTATTAAACTGTATGAATATATTTCAAAGTCATTTGCCTTGATATTTATGAACACAGTGTTTCTAGTGAATCTTAATTTACAAATCTATTATTAATGTAATGTATGGCTAATTATAAAACTGATACTCGAGCATAAAATATATGGTATTTTTAAACACAATTTCTGATACTATACGTAAACCCATAGCAAAAAACTACACCAAAAACTACTCATAAGAATCGTGTGATTCATGAATACAGGAATTCATTTCGTGAGGTATTTATAGTGAACCTAAATGTCGACTATTTTCTCATAGCATATAAGACATGATTTAACTGTCACTTGGATTACATGTAAAACTGTTTTTTACTTTTTTGTGTTTGAATAACTGTTTTATGGCTTAAAGTGTTATTTTTGTTACAACAAAAAACTTTATTCAAATTCTACACAAATTCGCTGAATATTGCGTTAAACAATACGATAGCAAAAGTATGTAACAGTTTTTGTTAAGCTTTAATGTGTAAAATATTTTAATATAGCACAGAATATTGGAAAACAATTTATGGTACACAAAATTATTAATAAACCTCCCGTTCCCTATGTTCAACCCCCCAAATTTACATACAATGTAACTACATGTCCCTGAATTCTCTACACTATATGCTATCATAAAACCTACTTTATATGTAACAAAAGGGTTGGCTGGCTAAATATACTAGCACTTAATTTAGTACACAATACATACCATGTCGAGGGCCACGGCTTTTCGCAAGTGGTACCGGCGCTTAGGGTGTCTGTGGTACATGTCGTCGCAGGACAGACAGAAAGCCATGGACTGGCATTTGTCGCACCGCACGGACGCGCCATTACTGCCGCACAGATTGCAACTGATTCTCGACTTACTCTCAAATTCTGGTCAAAAATTATAGGAAAATAGTACTAAAAGTATTGCTATAAAATAATTTATTAATTTTGGTTTGCCATGCATACAGCTTTTAAGTGTTAAATTATTTTTAATACCGGTAGTCATAAAATTTTGTAATATTTTAAAGGAATCCGGTAATTTGTATCCTAAATTTAGTAGTAACAAATATTTGAGTTAACAAGTATAATTAATTTAGCACGATTTTAATTTTAAGCAATATTTTATTCACTGTATATACATAGCTTACTAAATATATATTTTGCTTAAACAATGTCGCATACCTGTGCCTCTATATCCCCGATCGGAAATCATGTCTCTATCCTTATCCTTACGCTTATCCTTATGTGTGGTACCAAACAATAACATACAGCAAAACCAGAGCACAGTAACCAAAATCACAATAATATTTACGATCGGAAAGTGTACCGGAAATAGAAAAGCAAAGTCTAATACAATACTCTTATCGACATATTCTGGTAATAGACTATTAAAGCAGTACTCAATGTATTCGTTGTATTCACTGAAATGCACACTATTTTTAACATTTAATTTTTTGGACGCTATTCAGCGAAACAGTTGGGGCTCACAATTACCCCCAGTTTTGCTACGTGTGAGGTGTCTGTCCCATCAGCGATGCGCACTGGAAATGGGTGTTGAGTTAAACGGGAGGGTTGGGGTGTCGTGTGCTAATTGTGTGTGCTTGCTTAAATTTAAATTAATATTCTACTGTTAATATACTTTTGTTATTTTCTAATAATGTTTTTGTTAATAACGTGTAATTTATTTAATTATTTCCTAATAGTATACTAAAAATAAATTTATTAATAAGTAATAATCTTTCAATTCTAACAAAATATTTATATATTGCTGAAGTATCTTTATAAAAATTAAAGTTTTGATACAAAATACATTTTAATCCATGTCCTGAGGTTTATGAGCCCACCCCTCACCCCCGGAAAGCTAGACAATAGGAATAGTGAGTAAATATAGACTCACTTAATGTGTATTATGTGAACTTAAAGAGTGTATTAAGTATTTAAATATAACTATTTATATCACACATTAAGGGCATAGAAATTGATATGGGAAAGGGGTTTAAAACTCACCCGAAAAAAGGCAATTTGCAAAATGGTTTGCAAAATAATTGAACCAAAAATTAGTTATTTTAAAGTTTTTCAAAATTAGTCAAAACCGTAAGAATTTTGCCGATAGTTTAGTGAACTGTATGGGGAGTGATAGGCGGAAGGGAATGGGGCATCGTATGAATAATTAGCATTTCACATGGGGACAGGCGTGTATAAATAGTTTATGTACAAGTGCCAATTCTGTTTAATAGACATTTCATATCTGATTGAAGTATTCATAATAAAAACATTGCTTTGAAAATACTTTTTAGTCAATTATAAGAGATGTAAGAATTTTGTACTTTTTTACTAAAAAAGGAAATTATGTTTTATTACATAAACACGTGCAGCCATTGAATAATGAGCATGTTTATTTTTATTTATTCTAAATAATAGATTATTAATGTGTATAATAAATATACATGTTACAATTGTAATAAATCAAACAATGTATTATAAAACGATGAATAAATAATTAAACTAAAATTATTATTACTTTATATTTATTTTTGATACAACATGGTAATATTAAATTTTTTATTATACTATACTGTAGACGTGGATATTTGATCGCGATGAATGTACAGTGCAAATTAATTGGGACACAATATATCAGATAGTTAATATTTAAATATGTGAAATATTATGTGCCAAAATAACATGCTACTATTTTTATAAAACAATAAGTACTTAATGGCCAATGGTAATAATTTAAATAATCTTGATAAATAGAGCAAGATATTTATATTACAAAATAAATTACACTATAATTAAAACTTATTCTAAATTTAAAAATTATATTATGGCTTTAAAATATTTAAAATAATTAATGTACAGTATGGTAATAATTTATAAAATAACATTAACATTATATTTTTTATAAAACCACATTTGCTTAATAATGCGTTACATGAATTTATAGCTATTGCAATGTTTAACAAAACTGTGGTTGTCATCGCATTTTGTGATAAAGTATCTAGATAATGAATTCAGTTGTGTTATAACAATAATAGAGCAATATTTTGTGTAAACTTACGTTAAATTATTATCTTGTTACTTATGGTTTCAAAAATTGTTTTAAAATATTCGTTATTATACCGGTATATAAGTTATAACTTATTAAATTAATTTTTAAATAATAAGTTTTTTAGTAAAGTATTGCACTTATGCTTAAACTATTTAATATTTGAATTTAAAAATATTTTTGCATTTTAATATACACTACAGTTTTTTCCTTGTAAACTTTTATTATAAAATTTATAATAATTTACATTTTCTATAAAGGTATTCACAATTACCGTAGTTTATTTTTAAAAATATATTTATTAATAAAGAACAATAATATTTTTGTTAATACACAAAAATTGATTTAATATTATTATAATAAAGTTAAAATATATAATGTCATAATTAGTACATAATTAATGCCATAAATCCATAGGTATTGATAGATTTCATAACTATTAATGGGAAACTAATCGTAACAATAGAAACCTATTGGGTGTCCGTATAAGTCGAACAACCTCTCGATAAATGTCTGTACATTGAGTCGATATCTCACTGATAGACCCGATGTTTGCGATGAGACATATGATTGCAATATTGATAGGGTTTATATAAGCAGTTATTTTATCAATAATTAAAGTCTACAGATATTTCCTGTCTTTTAATTTTAATTTAATAATTTTGGGACAATTTTCTATCAGATTCTTAGCACCAGTTTGTGAGTACCCGTCGATACCATGAAAGTTAACTTTCCGTACATTCGGTAACATTGACACAGAATTCAGTGTCTCATCCGTTATATTCACTTTCGAGAGACACAGGCACTGGAGGGCCGGTAGTTTGCGATCAATATCTTTGAAAAAGGGGTCATTAATGAGATAACTCTGTGATTTAAGCTTCAAATGTGTTAATCGTTTGCATCCTTTCGGGGGTTCTTTGATGAGTGCAAAAGTGGGCGGAATTGTCGACGAGTTCCTGACCTCTAAACGCCTTATTTGACCAAAATTTTCATCAATTGTTGTCATTATAGCAGTCATTATATCCGTGGTCTTTATTTTTAACCTAATGTCAAGTCTCTTAAGTCGACGACAATTGAGTCCCAATTGTTTCAATGAGTTTACAATCAAAATAGTCTTCGAGTCGTCGCTATTATAAATACTAAAATTCATCTTCAGATCAATTAATACCTCCATTTGTGACAAACCAGTCATCAGTATATCGACGGACTCCTCATCGCAACTATAATTCATTAACACATCAATTGATTGCAAACTATT